TTTCTTCCCTCTTTCAATAAATGGCATTTGGCATTTGACATTCAGCATTCAGCCATGGCGAATGACTCGCTGTCTCTTGTCTCTATTTTTAATCCGCAGCCCTTCGCTTGGACATGGTGAACGGGTATCGGTAATGCGGGCGTTACCGCTACAGAGGCAGGTGGATTTTAGTGTATTCAAAGCCAGCCTGTTCTACAAAGTGAATTCCAAAACAGCCAGAGCTTTGTAGTGAGACCCTGTCTCAGTAAAACAAAAGCAACAAAGTACTAATTTTTATGTCTAAAAACAAAATATTATATATAAGGTTACACATTGATAGAATTTTGCCCTCACTCCAGCTGCATGACCACACATGCGCAGTTCAGGAGCTAAGCAAAGGGTCTTGCATCTTACATCATCAGTGTGCACTGGTGACTGCGTGCACGTGGCGTGGTCATGCAATCAGCGCATGCCTGGTGTAGCTCTGTAAGCTCACTTGTTCCTTAAAAAGCCGGACACAGAACCCCCTCTTCCCTTCTCTGTTTGCCCCCCACTATCTCTTCTCTGTGTCTCTCTCTTTCTGCTTTGCACGTGTGTCTCCCCCAGGGCCTGGTTCTTTGGGCTCCTCACCAATAAAGTTCTGATAGTGGGTTTTGTCATGACTCATGACCTTTCATGTTGTAAACTTGAGGTCCCATATGCCCCTTTGCCTCTTCCCAGGGTTCCACTCTCCACCTTCCATTGTGGTCGATGAGATTAAATACAGACCAAAAATGCCCAAGATGTTACAGGTCACCAAATTAAATACTAATTAAGGAGCTGTAAATGGTGATGTTTCAACTTTTCCTGGAAAGAGTTGTGAGAGGGTGGGGAGACAGTGTGAGGGCCTCAGAAAATAGGTTGCCACACATACAAATTCTTTGCCTGATTTGCTTTTTTGCATAGGGTGGGCCTTTCAGACATCTCATTATACTCTCACCCTCAGTTTGAAGCCAAGCAGAGGCAAAAATCAGCCTCTGAATAGATAAACGAGAGGTGGGTGGTTAACAAGTAGGATGGGCTCCACTGTGACTCAGAATAAGCTGGAATCTTCAGCATTCTCTATACTGCAAAACTGCATGCCACCTCTAGTAGAGATATAAAGTCAACTATATGCTCATTGGGGGGATTAATTTGTGGTGCTTATGTTTTTTGTTTGTTTTGTTTTGTTTTATTTTTTGTTTGTTTTTGTTTTTTGTTGTTATTGTTTTGCTTATTAAGGCAGGATCTCATTTCTCCCTGGCTGGTCTCAAATTTAGATGAAGATGGCCTGGAACAGATGCTCCTGCTTCTACCCGCTGAGTACTAGGATTATAGGAAATGTACCACCATGTCTGGCTGCATATTCTGAATTTTAAATATCTTCATAAATTACCTTAAATGTAAAACTAAGCAAGTGAAATTAATTTTGCTAATATTTTACTTTCATTTAATTATCACTTCAACATGTAATTATTGTAAAATAATGGGGAAAAAAAGAAAAATTGAAATGTGCATGTTGCATGCTGAGGATATAGGTCGGGGTAGAGTACTTGTGTAGCATGTACAGGTGCTGGGGGTGTAAAGGAACCGAGGTACAGGAACCTGCTACATTACTGCTGGAACTGTAGCCATAAAATGATGCAGCCACTAGCACCAGAGTATGCACAGCATTTATAATAGAGAAAAGGTAGAAACCCCAAATACCTACTGCTTGATGAATGGATAAACACAGGGTGCTGTGTTAATACAATGGTCAAGTATCGAGCCCTGAAAAGGGGTAGAGTACTGCTACATCCTATAACATGAATAAACATCGTAGACATTAAACTCAGTGAAAGAAGCAAAATGACAGAAGAATGGGATAGTTCTCTGTTAGCTGGTTTTATTTCTATTAAACACCCAGAATGAGGAACCTGAAGCAGAAAGTTAGATTGGTAGCTGATAGGGGATGGGGTCTGGAGGAACCAAGAATAACTACTAATAAATAAATGGTTTCTTCTCAAATGACAAAAATATTTTAAAATCAAATAGGGTGACATTTGCATAATTTAAGAACATACTAAGAAAACCCTACTGGTTTGTATACTTTAATAGAGTGAACTTACTAGATAAGTGTCTTACATTATTATTTAAAGATTACATTTATTTCATGTGTATTATGTTTTCCCTGCATGCATATTGTACACTGTGTGCAAGTCTGCTGCCTGTGAAGATACAAGAGGATGGTGGATTCCCTAGAACTGCATTTACAGATGGTTGTGAGCTCCATGTGGGTGCTGTTGTGGGTCACAGGGTTTGTAGCTGAGAGATATTGAGGATTACCTTTCTCTCCAGTACAGACTGCCTTCCAGTACCATGAACTCTGGTTAGTAGGTGAAGAATCTAGTTAGACATCAGTTCAACTTCTCAGTGTTCAATGATAGAAATGTTACCTTCAGAAACAAGACCTTAACATCAGCTTTGCAGAGCCCCCAACAGCCTTGGAAATAGCCTGTGCTATTTGGGGATTCTGTGGGTCCCTTTGGTTAGGAAATCAACAGGCTGTACCCTGTTCCTGGCACAGGACGTTTAAGATGGTGGCATAAGATGTCTAATTGGAGCCTTGTCAAACCTGTTATGTTTTGAGCCCATTTAGATTCCTTTCACCTATGTATAGGAAGCTTCTGGGGTAGTCAGTTTCCATATAGTTTTTCAAAGGGTCTGCAGTGTTGATTGTCCCTGCCCATATTCCCTCCTTTACCTTTCTCTCCCATCTTCCTCTAATTAAACCCTCCTAATCTAGTGTTCATTTATATCTTCATAACACTATAGACTTTCCCCTTCCTTGAGTGATACTCTCCTCCCTTCTGGTCCCTTACCAGGTACCAAACCTCTGTGGTTATTCGGATTGTAGTTCCCATATCAGAACCTTTAAAGAAAAAACAAAACAAAACAGTATTTGTCTTTTTGGGTCTGGCTTGGCCCCATCAGGATGAATTTTTTTCTAGCTCCATCAGGCAGGTCTTAAGGAGGTATTTTCTCATGGCTGCAGGACTGTAAGGACCTGACCCATCACCCAACTCCCCCAGTGTTTTGCTTTGGAGGCCCTGCATGTAGGTCTACTCCAAAATTCCAATTGATGGTGCTTTGTGCAGCCACTGAGCATGGTAGGCTTTCGTCACTGGAGTCTGACATGGACATGCACAGAGCACGTGTGCACGGGGTTCACAACTGCTGAGCATCATTGTGTGCTCACAGTGTGTCACAGTGCCAGGGCAGCTGTGTTGCTAAGAGTAAAGCAGAGTTTGGCTCACACTGCACCAAGGATCTGCGCTAGCAGGACGGTCCTGTGTGTCAGTGGCGAGAATTTACCAGTGTTTCAAACTTTTAGTGTACCAGTGTTCTATTTTTTACTATAGGGTTTGGGAGGGTGCAGGTGGGTAAAGGGGGGGCAGGGGAAGCAGGGAGGGCCTGCACAGCCTTAAGGCTGAACATGCAGAAATGGCACAGCCATATCTGAATGGGATGGCAGAAGTCATAAAGCCAGTACAGCTGCTTGACAAAGATCCAACAGAGCTAAGACACATGATGGCTGCCATGACACTTTTGGTTTTCATCTCTACCTGTTACATACTTGGGGCACTTTTAATATTTGTACAATTTGGGGATATTGGGTTGATGGAAAATTCCTTATGAATCATTTATGCCTTCTCCCAGGAATGCTGCTTCTAAGCTTATCCAGTGAAGTCCTGAACATACTATTCCCCCACACACACTTTGAGGGCAATATCCTTATCTACTTGAAGGTCTTCCTTACGCCCTGGAGGTTGTGACACATAAAGAAATCAGAGGTCTCTTCATGAGACTATGAGACATTCTTGAAACATCTCTCCCTGTACTTACACTGGAACAAGATATTCAAAACAAAGTAAATTTAAAAACGTCAAGATTCAGTGGGCTAGAGGAATTGTCCACAGTTCAGATTACAAGCCTCTTCCCATTGTACACTCAGACAATTACGTGGCATACAACTCTGCCCTACATAGAGACATACTGATGAGCAAAGTATGGAGTGGAAAGATGATAAAAGTATGAGATGTTAGGACCTCCCTCTCTTAGAAGTTAGCTCATGTAGAGCCACTACAATGTCACATGACCAAGGAACAACAGAATGCCAGAATTAGACATATAGACAAATTCTATAAGGATATAAATGTGAACATTGATTGTATTATGCCAGAATTCGAATAATAACTACAGCAGCTTTAGCCTGAGGATTTTTCCTGGGCACTCTAACCACTAAGAGTTAATAATATATTACTTGAGACATGGCAAAATGTCCAGAGTGGTTGAAGATTTTTGTTTTGGTCTAGTGTCCTTGAAGCAACCAAAACAACCAGCCTAAGCACAGGCTGTCATATGACTCTAGATTCTCAAAAATTGGATTATGGGGTTAATGAGTAAGAATGATAACTCTGTTTATTAATGATGTCAAAACTTGAGGGAAAATGATTGGAAACGATAACTCTGTTCTGTCATAGTTTATTAATAATGGCTAAAAGATGAGCAAAAGGAAGTGAAACACATGTCCAAAACCAAAAATGATATGATCTATGTTTTGGAACATCATGAATATATCCCTGTTAACTAAATTCTGTATAAATAAAGAAACTCTGGCTGCTACTCAGTCAGGCTGCAAGATTCTGCCAACCACCATGGCCTGGCTCACTTCCTTCTCCCACTACAGGACCCATCCACCACCAGGAATCGCTTCTAGCACAGGAAGACATCCACCCCAATGCCCTTAGTATTCAAGCCCCAAAGCGGGCTCGCTGGTACACCTGCCTGTGGCCCTCATGCCTGGGTCATGGGTGCTCCTGTCGCAAACAATGATGACGCAAATTTCCCCTCCACTTGATTGGGTATGACCCTGTGGGGAAGGTCCAAAGGGCAGCCAGCAGGGGAACATGGCTTCAATAGAACGACTTATTAAGTGCCATGGATACCATGTGAATGGCTATGACACAAGGCGCAGGTAATGGGGCCTGGGGAGGGGTAGGGCCTGGAGGGACAGAAACTGTTGGTGACAGTCAAGGCAACTAAGAAGAAACACACCTTCCAGGACTGTAACCTGAGGGAGGGGAGAGGTCATGCTTAGGCTCTTCTTTCACTAAGCCCAGTGGGGTTTGTGCCTGCTTCAGGCTTCCAGGCATCTGGGACCTGCACACCTTGGAAGGGCAGCTCCTAGGCCTTATAAATTCTTTTACATTGTCTCTTTTAGAGCACTTTATTGGGTGCTTTAAAGTGATTTAGCTAATGAAACTACATACATTTTATTTTTATGTGTATACTTCAAAAATTTTAGATTTATGTATATGAGTGTTTTGCCTACATGTATTTTCAACGCACCACATGCATTAGAATGTGTTCAATCTCCTGGAACAGGAGTTACGTACAGTTGTCAGTGCTAGAAATCAAACCCAGGTCCTCTACAAGCAAAACTAGAGCTTGTAAACACCAAGCCATCTCTCCAGCCGTTAATGTCTATGTTTTTAGTACTATGTTATATACAACACAGAAAATTGCAACATGAGATAAATTTTCACGTAAAATGTCAACTTTAAGCCAAAAAAAAGAATCACCAAGAAATCTTACATCAGTGGGATCCATGTTTGCTGAGGGATCATATAAGGAAATTTTAAGTTGGAACTATGACTCTGACCCCCACTCCCTTGAGTACATGTTGTATGTGTGTTGGTACATATGTGAAGGCTACAGGTTGACATTATCTTCAATTGCTTTTCATCTCATTAAAAATGTTATGTGTGTGTGCACATGCACCCCACACACCTGCAGGTAAGTGTGTGAAGGTCAGAAGAAAACTATACTTGAGAGTTGTGGTTGGCCATATTGTGGGTTCTGGGGGTTGAACTCAGGCCATCAGGTCTGCTGGCAGGTCCCACCACCTGATGAACCACCTTGTGGTTCCTACACTTCAGGTTTTGAGGCAGGTTCTCTCACCCAAATCCCCACTAGGTGTGATTTATTGTCTTGCAGTATGCTCATTCAGCTAGGCTTGCAGGCAAGCAAACTTTGGGGATCCTCCTGTGTCCACATTCCCAGCACGAGATTTTCAAGGTGCTGGGGGTTCTGAACTCAGGCCCTCAGGCTTGCATGGCAAGTGCTTTACCAACTGAGCTCTTCCAATCACCCCAGCCCTTCTTTTCTGTTTCTTATTTCACACTATGTTCTAAAGGGGAACCAGTAACACTCAACAGTAGATTTTCCATTGCCCATATGCTTCTTAATAATCTCTGTAGCAGTAATCTTTTTTTTTTTTTTTTTCTGAGACAGGGTTTCTCTGTGTAGCTTTGCACCTTTCCTGGAAACTCACTTGGTAGCCCAGGCTGGCCTCGAACTCACAGAGATCCGCCTGCCTCTGCCTCCCGAGTGCTGGGATTAAAGGCGTGCGCCACCACCGCCCGGCCGGTAGCAGTAATCTTAAAAGTTCTTATTAATAAAATCAAACCTGAGGCTAGTTACTGGGGTGAAATGCTGGAAGGTCAGAGAGACAGAACAAGCCACAGTTAACCTCACCTGGCCAACTTCTCAGCTGGTCTTGTTTCCTCAGACTGGAAGCTTCTGTGTCCTCATCCCAGTGGCTCTCAGCTGAACTGCTGCTCGAAAGCCTGAAGCTTAACCAGCTAAAAGCTTAACCAGGCCAAATGCTTCTAGTTCCTGGTCCTCACGCCTTATATATCTTTCTGCTTTCTACCACCACTCCCTGGGATTAAAGGCTCACTCCCTGGGATTAAAGGTGTGTGTTACCATGCCTGGCTCTTTCCAATGTGGCCTTGAACTCACAGAGATCCCAGATGGATTTCTCTCTCTGGAATGCTAGGATTAAAGGCATGAATGCTACCATTTTCTAGCCTCTGTATCTAGTGGCTGTCTGTTCTCTGACCCCAGATAAATTTATTAGGGTACACTGTTGTGCCCAGATCGTGACCCCCAGAGAGACCACCAAAGACGAGCATGCCGGAATGCAAAAGCAAGGTTTAATTCTGGATATCC